TTCCACCAAGTGAGAAGAGTGATGACCATCCTTTTCCTTACTATGGTTATTTCGTACTTCGGTTGCATGAAGGCCGCCCCCATGAAAGAAGTCAGCGTCCGAGGCCCAGGCAGCTTGGCCTACCCCGGCGTGCGGACCCACGGGGCTCTGGAGAGTGCGACCGGGCCCAAGGTGGGCACTCGGGGCCTGACGTCAGCAGCGCTGGCTGACACTTTCGAGCATGTGATCGAGGAGCTGCTGGACGAAGACCAGAAAGCCAGGCCCCACGAGGAGAACACGAAGGATGCGGACTTGTACACGTCCAGGGTGATGCTGAGCAGCCAGGTGCCCTTGGAGCCGCCGCTGCTTTTCCTGCTGGAGGAGTACAAAAATTACCTGGACGCTGCCAACATGTCCATGCGGGTCCGGCGCCACTCCGACCCTGCCCGCCGCGGAGAGCTGAGCGTGTGCGACAGCATCAGCGAGTGGGTCACCGCCGCGGATAAAAAGACTGCAGTGGACATGTCCGGCGGGACGGTCACAGTCCTGGAAAAGGTCCCCGTGTCCAAAGGCCAGCTGAAGCAGTACTTCTACGAGACCAAGTGCAATCCCATGGGTTACACCAAGGAGGGGTGCAGAGGCATAGACAAGAAGCACTGGAACTCGCAGTGCCGAACTACCCAGTCCTATGTGCGGGCCCTCACCATGGATAGCAAAAAGAGAATTGGCTGGCGCTTCATCAGGATAGACACTTCCTGTGTATGTACACTGACCATTAAGAGGGGAAGATAGTGGCTTTATGTTGTATAGATTATATTGAGACAAAAATTATCTATTTGTATATATACATAACAGGGTAAATTATTCAGTTAAGAAAAAAATAATTTTATGAACTGCATGTATAAATGAAGTTTATACAGTACAGTGGTTCTACAATCTATTTATTGGACATATCCATGACCAGAAGGAAAACAGTCATTTGCGCACAGCTTTAAACAAAAATCTGCATTTCATTCCTCGATAATGTTGTGGTTTGTTGCCGTTGCCAAGAATCGAAAACATAAAAAGTTTTAAAAAATACTAATAAATTGCATGCTGCTTTAATTGTGAATTGATAATAAACTGTCCTCTTTCAGAAAACAGACAAAAAAACAAAAACAAAAACAAAAAATTTGAACCAAAACGTTCCGTTTACATTTTAGACAGTAAGTATCTCCGTTCTCTTGTTAGCACTCTTGTCTGTTTTACTGCTCTTAACCTCTGATAGCATTGGAATTAAAACAATGTCAAGGTGCTGTTGTCATTGCTTTACTGGCTTAGGGGATGGGACGGGAGGGGAATCTGCTGTTTGTTTTGTGTTTTTTTTCCTGTTTGTTTGTTTGTTTTATTTTATTATTTTAGTTTTTGAGTTCCCACAGGGCATAGGGTTGGGGAAAGACCGCTTCTATCCATGCTGGTTGATAAAAGATGCCTTTGTACGTTGTAAAGATGTTTTTGCAATATCAATCAGATGACTGGAAAGCAAATAGGGTCGAAGGCAACAAAACCCGATGCCCGTATTGCACCTCCCAAGTGACACCTCCTGGGTCCCTGCTCCGGACCTAGGGACGCTGCTTGATCCCAAAGACCCCTCTCTTGGCTCAGGCAATTCTCCCCTCCTCCCCTTTGGCCCCTCTCTGTTTCGCTTTAACTTAAGGAAGAACGTTCAGTTGCGCGCTCTGAAATCTTCCACCACTTTTGTGAACCAGATGTGTCACACTGCGGCTTGCGTGGAAAACGGTGATTTATTATTATTTTTTTTTTTTAGAAGAGAAAACAGTAAGAAATAACCCCCAAAGAAGTATTTTTTTATCAAGGGTCATTTGGGTAAATCATGGTAATGTTTTAAAATCACAATTAAGTTTAGCAGTGTCCTGCCAGGGAAAGGGAGAGCTCCGTATGAACCCAGGGACACATAGGTCACAGCAGGACTCCGCACTGCCACTGACATGAAACGGAGCGGCCCTCAGAGGCCAGTGGAGCTGACATACTGAGTCCTGGCAGTGCGGGAGGAATTTCTGAGTGGCTGCCCCGAGGTCCAGGTGGAGGTGGGGGAGGGTACTCGAGACATTCCTAGAGGAGCACCCTGCAGAGGTGGCCCCGGAGTGACCCCTGTCGAGCTGCTTGGACCTCATGCTTTAAGTGCCTACATTATCTAACTGTGCTCAAGTGGTCCCCAGCTGGAGGATCATGCCCACGCCGACTGCTGTTCTCCATCCCACCCTGGATAACTGTGCATAAGTTGGAGGATCCGCCTGGAGCAGGTTTGGAGCCAAGGTGGCGTTCTGTGATCAGAAGCTCGATCCACAGAGAGCAGAGACGTTTACTGCAAGAATACTTCCTTGCTTTGCAACTAGACTTTGAGGGAACCAGGGTTTTGTCTGTTGAGAACTTTTGGTAAAAGGAAAGAGAAGAGAAAAGATCTCAGGCTTTCAAAAGACCGAGGCCTGAAAGGATAGGAATCTTGTCCAGAGATGAGATTTGGGAAAATGCCTTGCTCCACAGAAGAGGCCAGGACAGAGTGAACAACACCGTGGTCCCTGCTGATGGCCACAATGACTCCTGCCTGATCTGTCCTTTCGTGGCCCCAGCTCCCTTGCCCCTGGGTTAGGACAGTCCAGTTGGGAGCTAGGCAGTACTCCAGGGAGGAAGGGACCCCAGCAAAAACTCACACTGAGCCCCTTTACCCATTCACCCCACTTCCATACCTGACAACGTAGGTGGCTACCATCTGGAGCCGCAGACGGAGCCCCAGACCGAGCTTCAAACCATCGCTGTGTCTTAGGAGGGTGAGGGATAAGGGAAGGCAGGTGTTCCCAGGGGACCAGGGCGGGGACGAGTCCATCAGCAATGATTTCCGTTTGTTCAGTCTTTTATGTAGAGCTAGGCTGTCCTTTTTTAGGGTTCCACCTGAATGCCTGCCTTGGGAAGCCTTTATGTAGTATAGGTTTGTTTTGTGCTGTGTGACAATGTTGGTAATTATTTTTAACCTGTAGGAATGCTTGGAATATCTGCTCTCCGTTCACTTTCTGCAGCTTCCTTTCGGGGAACAACATTTACAAACCAAACAAAGTCACCATCGCAGTCTTCAGTGTATTCTAAGGGCCAGTTCTGTGACATGGTTTTGTGGCAGGCGTTCAGCAGCCGTGTGCTCCCTGGCGCTTTCTACCAAGACACATCACACTCCCATGCTTGGCGATTTCTGTGGACCTACGATTTATTTTGTCCAGCCCTCTGTTGCTGCTCGTTCTTGCTCTGTTCCGTTCTGTTTTGCTGTGGTCTCGTTGTGGCAGCGTTTTATGCATGGCAACAGGCCTGTTGCTTTTTATGGTGACTTCCATTGAAAACTAAGTAAATGTCTGTGGCCTTGTTCTCTCTATGGTAAAGATATTATTCACCATGTAAAACAAGAAAAAATATTTATTGTATTTTAGTATATTTATATAATTATGTTATTGAAAAAATTGGCATTAAAACTTAACCGCATCAGAAGCCTATTGTAAATACAAGTTCTATTTAAGTGTACCAACCGACATATAATATATGTTTTAAATATAGAATTTTTAATGTTTTTAAATATATTTTCAACGTACATAAAATCTGGGGATTCTTGGGTTTTTTTCTCTTCACGGTAAAACAAACATGAAAACGTGTTTATTATAAATACGTGTGTTCCTTGCTTTACGACCAACCTGACTAAAGGTAGCAGTTAAGCAGCCCCCGGGGAGATGCTTATTTCAAAGCCTGGAGGGGCCCTTGCTGCAGTCTGTGAGCTTATGAGGGAGCTCAAGGACCGGGTCTGTCCCCTGCGCTAGCAGACAGGGGTGTCTTTTTCTAGGACACTTGGAAGTTTCCCCTTTTGAAGTGATATACTTTCATCAGATACCAAACCATGTATCCTAGCAACGTCAGGATCCATGAATCGGGGCTGGCTGGTCGTATTTGATATAAAATAACTGTTAAAAATATCAAAGTTCGTTTACTTAGGGCTAATGAGGATAAAATGGACCAAATTTAGAAAGCCAACAACTGAAAAAAAAAAATCTCAGAGATTCAATATCTGGAGGCGGGTTACACACCCTCGGTTTGGAAAGACACTGCCTGCAGCATGTGTTTGTATCCATTGCACTAATCTTTGTGTGTGGAGCATGCAGATTCCACATCATAATGCCCATGGTCTGACAGGCTGCTGGGGTTTCTAGGAAGATGGGCCTCCGCGACGGCCGCCGAACCGCGGGGTAATTTAATTAAAGCGTTTAAAGTTATCGCTAAATCTCAAGGAACTAAATGGGTGGATTCTGAGAGAGAAAGGGCCATTAGAGGGGAAAAGCATCTGTTCCTACTCATCAGGGCCCGCATTTGAACACTACAACCCATCAGAACGTGGTGAACTATATCTGTACAGTGTATCATTTCTATTTTACACACACACACACACACACACACACACACACACGGTTTCCTCTTGTACTGTCTTATAAACAAGGATAAGAAAAGTCATAGCCAACATTGACTCGTGTCGTGTGAGTGGGAGAACAGATCCAACGAGACGAGTTCCTGTATTGCATCTGCCCAGTGAAGCTGCAGAAGACTCCACCTCCAAGAGAGCCCCCCGGCATGATCGGCCAGGTGTGGGCTTGGAACCTGGGCCACTTGCCTCTCAACTGGGTGTCGTGTCAGTGAAGACTAAAATTGGTTGCCAAGGTTGAGTAGCAGGAAATGAGAACTAAACGTAGCATCCACATTCCTTGACGTTAAAGGAATCTGGTAAATATGGCAGAGTTCTCATGAGAAGGCGAGAGGCAAGGAACAACAGCAGGAAAAAGGCAGCAGCGACCAAGCTATCCAGCTTGGGTTTAGCATGAGCAGCCAGGCTGTGCCCTCAGCACTGGGCACGCAGCTAACCTGTTTACTGATTCAGAAGCTTGGAATAACTCTGATTGGTGCTTTGTCTGTTGCCTTTCATCCTATCATTGAACTTCTTTGGTCACTAGGCATTGTACAGTCTTCTTGCACCCAAAGTGAGAATCATGCCCATGGGCCAAGACATCGCCTAGAAAGTCTTCTTGTTGGCAGCACTAATTCTGTGGAAAATGTCACAATTCCGAATGAGAATTTGAACTAAATCTTAGAACAAATCAGTGGATAGGACTGGGAGACAGCTTGGCAATCTAAAAGCCTGCCTGGCAAGTACAAGTTCCTGAGTTCAATCCCTGGTACCACATGCCATGCTAACCTCAGAGCCCCGGACCTAAAACCAGATGTGGTGGTGCATGCATGTAATCCCAGCATTGGGGAGGCTGACACAGGAGGGTCACTATGAGTCTGAAAAAAATCAATCAATCAATTAATTAATATTTTCTTTTTTAAAAAGAAACTTGGTTAAGAAGAGAAACATGAACATAAATATAAGTAAATGGAATAGTCTGGCCAGCAAGAAACTTCCATGGGTTTGATCCAAGCTCAGTGTCAACCAGCAAAATTAGGATTTTGTGAGCCTGGAGCCATTCTTTTTGCTGTGGGTTAACTTTGTTTCTGAGGTTGGTTCCCTGGCTGGAAGCTGACCTTGGATTCCCTGAACTGAGGGCTGGTGAATTCCCCACCTGGGCTGAGTCGGGACAGGAGCAGGTGTCACCACTCGGCTGGCCAGCATGTGGATGCTCCGCCTGGCCAACACCCTGCCCAACCCTCCTCTCTGGTCTTTGCAGTACCTTTATGTATTCCTAATTGTAGACATTATTATCTAGAAAAGAATACATCCTCCTCACTTTTGATATGTGATTAGAGGCAGCCAGATGTCTGAAGAACATTTTACACATTGACATACAAATATTGTGGTCTTTTACACAGTACATTCGTCATTAACAAAGAGCACCATTTACACGGCCCATCACAGACTTCCGGTGGGCCCTCACGTGGGCCCTCACATGGACCCCTTTACTAACTGGATGGGCACAGACCACCCTGCCAGGAGCTCCCAGGCTGGCACTGGCTTTGCTGAATAGTGGCAATCCCGAACGTGGGCAGCAGCAGCAGCTTGGAAGCCTGCAAGCCCGTGCTCCAATGAATAAGCCCCACCATGCATGTGCTAGAGAAGGCCTTGGG